TGCCTTTCTCATTTCAATGAACCGGTGGTGAGTAGAGGAAAGCTTCTGTCCCCCAATGGACCACTTGCTACCTGCAGAGTGGGTTGCTAAACCTTTTTATGCAAGGAGAAAAATGAAGCCCTATGTGTGAAAAGGGTATATTTGCATCAAAGTGGAGCAAGTGTGTGTAATTTGAGGTGTACTAAGAAAGAATCATAATCTAAAACTTAAATAAAATAAAATAAAATCTTCCTCCATCTAGGAGCATAATACCTGAAATTTCACAAATGGAGCCATTCATTTGAGTTAAATAGTTGTCTTCACACCATTATCCATCTTTAAAATATCACAGAGGGAAATACTACCGTGCCAAATTATTAACAATGATTCTCTCCCTTCTACCAAAAGTTATTACCAGGGCAGCTTAAAAATCACTGGATAAAAGCTTCATTAAATCTTCAGTTTTGCCTAGCATTTACAATGTATTGCTTAAAAAGTCAGGTTTAGGGAATTGAGTTCTGTGTCCCTCATTACTGTACTTATGACATTTTAAAACTTCACTTGTCTGAAAAACAGAGAATAATATTATTCCTTTCCATAGAGTTGTCAAGAGGGTTACCTAAGAAAATATTTTACAAATATTTAATAAAGTAGCTGGCAAATGGAAATGCTCAGTATAAGTATTAGCTGTAACTTCCTATAAACATCAAAAGTCTGGTACAGGACTTGACATAGCCCCATGATAACCTAGACTTTCCCCTGGTAAAGGCAACCATACTGAGTAGAGAGCCGGTGCCCTGGCTTTCCCTAAGCTGCTGGGAAAGCACAATACTGGCTCTGTGTGGGACATGGAATGTGATCCACAGGCTTCCTGTGTGTAACAATGAGAATGCAAAAATGAGGATGAGTCTGACACGTTCACTGAGGTTGGTAGGAAAATCAGTAGATTGTTTCTTGGCATTGAGTCTTTTTACTGCCATATCTTTCCTCCACCAAGCCTCAAAAAAAAACACAAAACTTGATGACTCTCTTTTATGACATTTTTTTGACCTTCCTCTTTCAACATTTCTTTTCTGAATTACCTTTTTGTAATGCTTTCAACCACTGACTTCGGCTCTCTTCGTTTGATGCATAGACATAGAGAAGCCCATCTTTATAGACAATCTGGAAATGAAAATATTTGGTGTGTTTATATGTAATTGCACCATAGTTCACTTTGGTGCACCTGAAAACTTTTAGTCATCCAAAAGAAACCGTGAGTTTGCTTATATAGTATACATCAACTCTGGAATTAGATGAAAAAAAAAATCTGCTTAAAAAAATCCTCCAGCCATCAATTTGTTTTATCCCAGACAGTCTTATACTTTGGAAAATTACAGCAATATGCCCCTAATAATAGTGGTGAACAATGAGTTCTCATCAAGGATGCCTCAGACCATGGATAATTATAATATGTTAGACATTACACGCGTCTTAGGATTGATCTGGTCCATTCACCTACCCAGTGCATGATTTCCTTACAGTCCAATGGAAAATGTTTAACTGCTCTATCTTTAAAAATACCTTCAGGGATGGAATGTTCTTTACTTTGCTATGTCATCTCTGCCAATATCCATATATTCTGATTATTATACAGTTCATACTTACATTTAGTAAAAATATGTCTCCCTGTTACTTCCATCTGTTTCATCATGTGGCATCCCAGGAATCCCCAGAATATATCATTTTCTATTTCTTAAGGCAAATGTTTAAATGTTTGAAGATTACAATATCTTCTCCAGATCCTTCTCTGGTTTATTCAACTCTTGTTGGTAAATATTCACAGCATTTGTTAAACACTTACTGGTTGCTGGGCTCTTTCCTAGCTACTTCAATATTTTAATCTTATTTCAACTCTATGAGAAATAGAAGTTAAATATGTGTTTATGGCTGCACAAGTATAAATGGTGGGACTAGGAGCTCTGTGGGGCTCCAAAGCCTGTGTTTTTTTGACCACCTTATGCCTCTGTGAGGTTAGTTTGCAGCATCTTCCATGAGCATGCTGTCCCCTGGTTTCTCCCAATTGGGTAATTTTTTTCAATTAAAAAATGTTTATATAGAGATGAGGTCTCACTATGTTATCCAAGCTGTCTTGAACTCACAGTGTCAAGTGATCCTCCCTCCTTGGCCTCCTAAAGTGCTGGGATTACAGGCACGAGCTGTTGTGTCTGGCGTGGTAATACTTTTTCCAAATGGGAAGTATGGTTTGTTAATCAACTGGATTATTGTATTTCATTTTTAGCCACAGCTTCCTACTACTAGCACTGGGTAGTCAGGCCATCTGAAAGACAATCCATCTACCTTTAGATCAGAAATGTAAGTTTTTATGATATAAGAAAAATAGGGGGCTGGGCACAATGGCTCACACTGTAATCCCAGCATTTTGGGAGGCCGAGGAGGGCAGATAACAAGGTCAAGAAATCGAGATCATCTGGCTAACATGGTGAAACCTCATCTCTACTAAAAATACAAAAAATAGGTGGGCATGGTGGCGCACACCTGTAATCTCAACTACTCGGTAGACTGAGGCAGGAGAATCAGTCGAACCCAGGAAGTGGAGGTTGCAGTGAGCCAAGATCACGCCACTGCACTCCAGCTTGGTGACAGAGCAAGACTGTCTTCCAAAAAAAAGAAAGAAAAAAAGAAAAGAAAAGAAAAAGAAAAGTAGGGCATGACTTAAATTAGGCCACTTCCAAAAGGTGCTGTCAGCATACACTCCATAGCATATCATTGTTTAAAATGAAAACTCCTTAGTATGGTCACCTCTCCAGGCTCATCTCTTTCACTGTCTCATGGGCTTCTTTATTCATAGGGACTACTTAGTGCTCTCTAAACATGTCATACTATTTCACCCATCAGTGCCTTGATACCTGCGGCTGCTTTTGTCCTACTGCCCTTCTCATATTGGCTAGGTTAAATCTTACTTGTCCTTCCCAACCTGAGTGTCACCTCCAATAGAATATCTCTCTAGCCTCTTGGAGTGAGAAACGAAGCTTCCACATCCTGGGACTCCATGGATGCACTCTGCCGACCTCCATCTTAACACTGCTTTGTAATGGTCTGTGTATTAGTCTATTTTCTCACTTCCCTATAAATGCCTTGGGACAGGGGCAATGTTTTATTCCCTATAGTATGCCTATTACTGTGTACCACATCAGAGACACTCAACAATGTTTGTTAAAAGAGATTATCAGACCTGAGGCAAGTCAGGTCTCTGCGACTTCCACTCCTGTCTTGCTTCCCTTCCCTCCAGGGAAGACAGCTTGGTGGACAGAATTTTAGCAAAATGCCCAACTACCACTTGGGAATATTCCAAGCCTTATTGTTGTTTTAATAGATTGTTTTGAAATATCATTATTTTTCCTAGACATACTGAGTTCACAATAGAAAAATTAAAGGAAGAACTATCCACCCAATGCACTGTCGTTCTTCCCTTTACCTGAAATGGATACTGTCTCTCCACAGGCGTCTGCTCTTCTAGATTTACTTTCTCCACACATCTGATTTTCTTAATTTCAATTGATCCTTTTCTGCTGCCCCTTTTCTGAATTAAAAAACAAAATGTAAGATACTTCATGCAATACACCATGGTGCGCAAGGAAAGATAAAGCTCAAGTTATGCTTGTGAGGGAGATTGGGGTAGGGGGTGGGCAATGGAGAACCACTTCCCATTACTCTATGATAGTCAAAATCCAATGACAACAGAATCTATTCCTTGAGTGTGGACACAAACACATATATTCCAGTGGTTAATAATCTTATGATTATCTTGAAATGTGTTTCAAATCGCCTATCATGTGGTTAATATACTCAGGAAAATCAAGATTTAACTTCTGCAAAGCATCTTCATTTTGGCTGAATCTTATGACAGTATTTCAGTATTTTTACTATAGTAGAATTCTCAACTGTACAGGAATAGTCTCATTTCTAGCATTGTTTTAAGGCAGCATTTCTTATCCTCAGCACTGTTGACATTTAAGGCTGTGTAATTTATTTGTTCTGAGGACTGTCCTGTGCACTGCAGGATGGTTAGCATTCTTCGCCTCTACTCACTAGATGCCTTTAGCACTTACTGTTCCTGTCCTCCAGCTGGGACAACCCAAAATATCTCCAGTCTTTTCCCAATGTCCACTGGGGAGCAAAAATGCCCTCAGTTGAGAACCACGGTTCTAAAGTTATAATTTGCCTTAGTAAAGTTAACTAATGTTTTAAAGTCCTTTATCTTGAATTCATTATACCTTCATTAAGAAAAGGTCATGTGACAAGTGGATAGAAGTGGACCTTTACTGTGTAAGCTAAGAAACCTGATATTCTCTCATTATGATCAAGTACTTTGTGGAAACTTAGAAAAAATAATAAATTGTATGAAAACAATAAAATAAATGATGTCTCACCATTTTGTCATATTCATAGTAGGAAAGGTTTGTCTTGGTCAAAACAAAAAGTCGTTCTTTGTAATTATTTGGTGACATTTTCTTCTTTTGCTGTGACCTTTTGAGAAGAAGTTCTTCTAGAATAGATTTTGTATCCATATTATCATCCTAAACAAAATAAATAATTGAAATGAATATTCGCAGTATCTAGGTAAATTCTCTTTAACCTTCATATCATTTCCTCAACTATTTCCTATTAAAGAATAATATAAATGCTAATTTTTTTTAAAATGAGACTGATTTAGGATTATAAAATAAATTACATAGTAGCTACAGTTTTTCTACTGCCTTTGCTTTGGGTTTTATAAATATGTTGATTTTTGAAAAGCACTTTCTGCATTTGATTCTTCCCACTGTGGATAATAAATTCATCATCTTTGCATCATTCTCCAGACCACCTTATCAAAATGCTCTGTACTCTTTAAACATTCTGTCTGTGTTGGTTGGATTGAATTGGATATGATAAAACTTTTAAAAAAATTAACTCCAGACAGCTCACAATTTATGAAATAATGGCCAGTAATTTGATCAAATTATCGAAACCACTATGAAGCACTGACGTTATTGTCAATAACACCTGCAGCCCAGATCATGACCAGATCTTTAACATAAAGGACACAGGTATAATTTTCAATATCTATGAGAATTTAAAATCAAAGTGAATGCCTAGGATAGAATAAAATGAGGAAAATGTGTGAGGGTGCAATAACAGATGCTATCAAAAGAGATTTAAAAGAACTGAAAAAATGAGTAAATTTACAAAGTAAAAAGACCCTTGCTTTTTATTCCAAAATCATGTAAAATATGAAAACTTAAAATATTTGTGAAAAATAAATGAATTAATTTTCTAGTTCAACTAAGATGGTTGCTTCAACCCTCAATCTGGTATCAGCTCTGACCATGAAAAGTAGCAATGTTGAGAAGTAGGCCAGAGAGACAAACTTTCTTAAGTTCTTCTTTGCTTTGTGAAATTGTATCATTATTTGCATTCACATGCCCAATAGTTAAGATCTTTCTTTATTGATAATCTGAAGGTTTCACTCACCTTAGACTCGCTACAGCCAAAGTATACGTGTTGGTCCTTAGCTTTAACTCTCAAGCTCTAAGCAAAAAGTTACCGCTTTGAGGCACCATCACTCATATTCCCTCTGGCTATCTCCCAGGGACTTGCATTAAAAAGAAGATATTTGCATCCCACTTATCAGTCTTGATCAGGAAGCACTCACACAGGCATTACTCTGTTTGCATGGAGGCGGGCGCAAAGTGAACCCATCCAATCACTAGAGGGCACTTCTCACTGGCCCGCTAGTGTGATGGACTCACTATGGCAGAAGAGTGAAATGAAAGGGAGACTAAGAAATACAGCCTGGCATTGAATAAACCACAGTCGGCTCCAGCCAGCCTTCCTCCTGACATAGACCACACAACTCTCAAAGTGGAATTAACAAAACCAGCTTTTATTATTTACTACATAAAACAAAAGATTATTTATTAATTTCTAAAATGTCCTCCAAGGGCATTATTTGATTTTTAGACAGAAGTAGTGGAAACCTGATCCATTCAATATAATAAAGTCTTGGTTACTTTTTGCTTGGGATATTGTTTTAGCTATTTAAAAAGGATAATTCTTTTGCAAAAGAAGAATGGGTTTCTTTAGAGTCCAATGGGTGCTATTTGCCATGGTCACTGGTTTCTTTGCCCAGTAAAGACAGGGAAGAGATCAGGGTACAGTAGAGCCTGCAGGACCTACAGAGGCAGATAGCATGCCTTCCTTTTATATATGCTTCCATTGTGAACTCGACATATCCATGTGCTCAGATAAGCTTATTTTCTATAGAATTTGCTTGGAGACTTATGGAAATAATGAAGGTCTAGTTTTTGTGAGGGAAAGCCTGTTTTAGGCAGGCAATAACACACTGGACATAGTTTTAGGGTACTTATATATTTCTATTTTTACTAATGACACAGAAGGAGAAAACTGTGAAAACTCTTGTCAGTTTTTTTATACCCATAGCTGAAATGTCATTCCTAAAAGCAGAGTGCTAATTAAATAGATCTGATTAGTTGAATAGAAAATTTACTTTTTAATTTTTTTCAGATGCTGAATCAATTTGTGACATTAACATTGTTTAAAAAATGTGAAAAACCTAATGTTCAAGTAACTATTTAGTCTTTCCCAGTACTATGTGCCGATATACATACTTTTCTGTTTATAGAACTTTCACACTTAGGCAGGGCACAGTGGCTCATGCCTGCAATCCCAGCACATTGGGAAGCTGAGGAGGGAGGATCACTTGAGGTCAGGAGTTTGAGACTTGCCTGGGCAACACAGCAAGATCCTGTCTCTAGAAATTTTTTTTTTAACAAATTAGCAGATATGGTGATGTGCACCTGTAGTCCCAGCTACACAGGAGGCTGAAGAGGGAGGATCATGCCACTGCATTCCAGCCTGGGTGACAGAATGAGATGCTGTCTCAAAAAAGAAAAGAAAAGAAAAGAAAGAAAGAAAGAAAGAAAGAAAGAAAGAAAGAAAGAAAGAAAGAAAGAAAGAAAGAAAGAGAAAGAGAGAGAAAGAAGAAAGAAAGAAAAAAGAAAGAAAGAAAGGAAAGAAAGAAAGAAAAAGAAAGGAAGGAAGGAAGAAAGAAAAAGAAAAGAAAAATTTTACGTGTATTACACTAAAGATGAGAATTTTTAGAATTTTATGTCAAAAAATATAAGATGAGTCACAGAGACCACTGACAAATTCACAAATTTGCCTCTGTATATTGAAATGAAGAAGAACATCGAGTAAAAAGAAAGGTATTGAACCCTCAAGCACCTTCTCCAGTAAACCTCCAAGGGTTAACAAGCATTATTGCATCTGATGAAATATAACTTGTGAAATTTCAGCATAATTGTTCATTTCAAAATCCTGCCCTTTATACATTTTTTTGCTTTCATTTTAAGATGCATATGCAATATATGTTTATTCTATAAAGCCCAGAGCTATAGACAGGGAAAAGAAAAACACAGCACATCTCTAGATGTTTTTCTTTTGAAACATTTATGTGCACATGCTTATTTTTCCAAAGACAGGTTCACATACTGTGCACATGGGTCTGTAATCTGTTGTTCTCATGTAATAAACGCCTGAAGCCACACATTTTTGAGGTACCTATCCAAGAGGAACAGTCCTTCAAAGCTCCACTCCCTAATCTGGACTACTGAAGCTTCCTAAGGATCTTGAAGAACCCCGCCTTGATGACTCAAGCTGTTTTCATTTCCATATCAGTTTCTTCTAAGACAAACCATGTGGTTTCTGCTCAGGCTTGGACTTGCGTTTCTCCTTCTATTTACTTCTGTCCCTTCCTTATACTTCTTCTTTCTCCTCTATATGGGCTAGATTCTAATTTGAAAACATTTCTATGGTATCTCTTGATAGAGAAGGGTAGTTGGATAGTTGCTGATGATTAGTTTTTAGAAATACAGTATCTCCTCCCTTGTATTTTGACAATAAATAAACAGGGTTCACTGTTAAGTCAAATGTGTGTCCAACAACTAGGAAACCCTGCTCTTGATACCCTTATTTAAGGAAAATTCAGTTGGGAAAGTGAAACAAAAAACCTTTTAAAGTAAAATGAGATCCTAAACCCAGTCAGTATTAACAAGAAATCTATTTCCATAGAGGAGCTGGTGGGATTTGGGTGGACTCTCATATTACTACCCACATAAAATAGACATATCAATTTGCTTACCAAATAGCCCAGGCTGCTTATTTTCATAAACAGATGAAACTAGAAAGAGATTAAGGCACGGAGGAGGCAAAAAAAAAAAAAACCTGGCAGAAATCAATATAGTATTTTTTATAAGGAAGCTAGCAGCCATTAGGTAACCTCTTACATACATAAAAGGTGTATGTTGAATTAACATGACTTGTAATCACTATAGTTATTTAGGATTTATAAGGAAACAATGTCATGAGAGTAAGAAGTTCAGGCTGGCAGTTCTATTTGGCACACTGGATTTTGAGCCTACAGTGTGTCCAATATTGAGTGACTGGTTCCAGAAATAAAGATCAGCTGTCCGTGGCCCTGAGTGACGATGTACAAGCTTGAGACATAGGCTGCGTAACTAATTAATATGCAAGATTGCTGTGAGGTGGCAGACTCAGAAGATAGGGGGAGGTTACAGACCTGTCATTTATAAGCTGTATTACCCTGGCCAAGTCCCTTCCCTGCACTAACTTTCGGTTTTCTGATCTGTAAAATAAGATGGGTAACAACTCTCTTACTTTAAGGGACTTAAATGAGAAAACTTATGTGAAAGTACTTAGCACACTGTGGGTACCAACTATGCTTTAAAAAAGAAGACATGGGGGGAAAATGCAAGTGCTAGAGTAGAGTCCATTCACTGTGCTATGAAAGGGCCAAGGAAGGAAAAGATGTTTTTTTCTTAAGGTAACCAAATAAGATGTTTTAGAAGGGAGCACACTGAAATTAGACTTTGAAGGATGAGAGTGATTTTACTAATAATGATCCTAGCCAATGTTTAAGGAGGGCTCACTATGTGCCAGGCTGTTTAGAGTTTACTGGTCACAACAGCTCTATGGAGTAGGTCATGACACCTCTACCTTATGTAGTAGGCCAGAACACCCCTATCCTATGGGATATTTTGTGATACTCCCAGCCCATGGGGTAGGTTGTGACACAGTCACCCTATAGAGTAAGTTGTAACATCATTTCCTGCTAACGGATTATGGAGCTGCAATAGATAAATAAATTGCCCAGGCCACACTGCTAGTGGGTGGAGCTGGATTTGGATCCCGTCAGTCTAACTCCACAGCCCACATTCGTGACCATGATATTAATGCTAGAGAAGGACATGCCTGCTGTGTGACCCTCCTAAACCAGAGAATGCTCTCACTTAAATACAGGAAGGCAGTCATAGGATGTCAAATCTGACAGGAACTCTAGAAGCCATTTAACAGATGTAACACTGAGCCCAGTAGCCTAGGTGTCTTAGCCAGTACTGTTAAGCAGTGACCTAAGAGGCATGGTCCTGTGAGCCAGCTTCATATGTCCTGCCGGTACACTATCCACTCCATGATGGCAGTAAACAGAGTGGGAGATATCTATGTGTTCAGCCAAACATACTCCAGCTTTGTTAAAGGACATAGTTTAGTGAGATTACACATAAATTTGAGTCTTAACAGACACGTGCAAGAGACATTTTACCGAAAATATCAGAAAGATATTGTTACCTATAATCTTTCAATAGGAATCTCCTGCTGAAAGGCAGTGTTAAATAGCAAACTTTGAACCCACATTTTCAAAATAGGTAAGAACACACAACCTCAAAAGTTGGAATAAATTCTCAGTGGTACAGAAGAGGAGCAGTAGACAAGATACAAAGGGAGATAGGGATATCTAGTTAAATGGCCATGGGATAGTTCCCTCAACCAGGTAGTGTATTCCCTGACTGGCTCAGGGTGCTGCCTTTAAAGATTTATCCTTCAGAATTGAGAGATAAGGATAGCAATTCCTTACCCCTTGACTTGGTTTAGTTATCCTCTCTTACTTTA